GATAATTGGAGCATTCCTTGTAGTCTCTCTTTTTCACCAGGGATAATACAACTCCCGTTCTCTAGTCCGCTTGTGCCTTCCCCCTTAGCCATTGCAGTTTGGCAGACAAATGTAAGCCCGCACATGCCTGATAGACTATTGTGATCATGTCAGGACCGATTTCATCAATTCCAGCAGCCTTTCTACGTTTTAAGTATTATACAGCTTATGTGATTTCATCTACAGAAATAGTAATATCCGTACCCTGCTGTTTTACCGAGTCTTCTTGCCGTTGCCCATGGTTAATGTGTTCTTCAAAGCATTCCTTCCTCGCTGAAGAATGCTCTGAATCTCGGAAAAAGGATGTTCAGATTGTCTTTCAAGACCCTTAGACTGCCATGCTTTCGACCTCGGAACCGGTGGAAAATCTGTGAGAATACATTATCCGGAAATTCGACGTCAGCTCCTCGCCGAACTTCTCCCAGGAATCATCTTTGGCTTTCGTCACTGCTTCTGCTGCTACCATGCGCGATTCTACATATTGCATGCGAACTCAAGGTTTTTTCTTTCCAAGCCAGTTCTTGAACGCTGATTGATTCTCTTTAACTGCCAGTGTCCACCGGGAAATTCTTTCCTGACCTTCAGTCGGCAGGGCAACCCGTTTGACTCCGCAGCATTCGGTTGCAGCCTCGAGTATGCTGCTTTTGAAGAGCTCCCACTCGGTTTCCAGGCAGGCAGTAATCACCGGAATTTATTCAAACCGTTGTGCCATGCTGTCTGCAACTTTTGTTCTCACAAAAACAATGTTACGTTGGCTTCTGACACCAAATCGTCGTGGAGACGATACTCCATTTCTCACAGCGTAGTGTGCCAACAACAGGGTGGTGATCGGTTGGTAGCTCTGCGCCTCTTTTAACACGAACATCCATTACTGAGCGTCTTAAGTCAGACGATACGATTATCAAGTCGATCATCGACTTCTGTCCACAAGCTTCCCAGTACCAGACATACTGATGCATTTTCGATGCTCGAAGAAGGTTCATAATGGACAGTCCGTTAGTTGCACAAAACCGTGGTCGGCATGGCCGTTTTGTCCACTTTCCAGCGTTCAACTTTTCAGCGTCTGCTGCGGCATGCGTATTAACATCACCGATAGTACTCCGTAATTGTAGTCGACACGTTGTACAGAGCACATTTTACTTCCTAGGAAGGATAAAAATTTTGCATCCAAATTCGGCGCATGGATCTGAAACAAGGTCAACGCCTTAGCCTGTTGTAACTTCTGTCACAGAATTGCCACCCTTCCGAGGAGAGGATTCCTTTCGGTGATTATTTAAGGCAAGTTGGCTTCTTTCATGACACCGGCCTGAGCGTACTTCATCATGTCGACACCTGAAAATAACCGCTTCCAGTCACAGAGGTTTGCCATTCCAGAGCCCTGGCCTTTTGTTGACAAGAGTCAAAATACATCCAATCTGAACTTTGCGGCATCATCAGCTAGCTCCTGCTTTTACACTCTGAATGAGGAGATGTTCCAACTTCCGATTGTCCCTATGTCGGTGTCGTTCCCGTGCAACCTTATCCAACGTGACTGTCTACATCCTCAGTTTAGAATCGGTAGCGGCTGCGTTGATGACCGGTATTCCATTGTCCTTTCGTTGATCTCTGATATCCTTCGGTGCCCTACTACATCACCAGCTGAGAGAAGTCGGCAAGTACAATTTGATCGCTGACGCATACAGCTTGCCTTAGTTCCGCAAAGGTTGACGCGGCCTTGAGTGTCCAGAACAGCGATCCAACAAGCATAGCGTACGAAGGCGACACTACAATGAGGGGCAGGTGTCTAAATTTTACGGGAGTTTAATACTGTGCCGCTTCTAGGCAGTCAAATGTTCGAAATAACATATTCCTGTAGAACGATGGCTTAATTTTGTACGGCATATCGCTACTTCTCTGTGCTCCAGGTTTGCAATGGACTCAAACTATGCATAAGGTGAAAAATCTTTAATATAAGACATGAACGTAAATATTTTTGATTCAGTTGAAGTAAATATAAAATAAGCAGAGAGCGTGTTGTGCAAAACAAGCACATGTAATGGAACGGAAATAATTTTTTTGTTTGCCGAATTCGGTATGAATGTAACCAAGCTAAACCAAGGACGTATTTGTCGTACGTCGTAATCAACTAAACTATTTCTTTTAATTACCTTCATCTCAATTATTGCTGCAAGTAATATTAGCCCTAGGACGGCAGGCACACGATAATACCCGCGACGCAATTGAATGGATTACTCTAGACTTCACATAGTTGGCATCGCACGGCACAGACATTCAGTGAACTCAAGTATATAATCACGAACGACCAAAGAGCAGCACTAGTAACCAGCTAAAAGAATCACAGAACATCGACATTTCACAATGCGAAATTACTAAACCTAGAATGATTTACTCAATCGGGCGATGGAGTCTCCAATTATCCACTAACGCCAAAACTATATCCGTTTAATCTGCTGCACGCCTTCGAATGCACGGCGCTAGTGGTCACCACTGACACAATCGAAAG